ATTTTTTTTTTTTAGAATTTTTGCACACTTAATTATTGGGCTACAATACATATATATGCATATATGTGTGAGTGTGTAGTAGTAGTAGTAGAGAGAGTGAGGGGGAAGAGAGAGAGAGAGAGAGAGAGAGTTGTGTGCGGTTTTTGCTATTTACTTAGGCTCTAAGACGGTTGGGCTTGGGGTGGGCGTAAGTGCAAGGAGCGTGTGTATATGTGTGTGTGTGTCTGTGTGTGTGTAACGCGAATGTTTGTTGCGCTATTTGATGATGCGCGGCAGCAACGTTTGCTGCTCTGCCGGCAGCGACATCAGCTGCTGCGCCTGGTGCTGCTGTTGTTGTTTCTGCTGCTGCTGCTGCTGTTGGTATTGCTGCTGCTGCTGCTGCTGTTGCTGCGTCGACGGCACCTGCGACTGCGGCTGTGGCTGTTGTCTGACCGCGTGTGGCGTTGCCGGACTGGCGTACAAATGCCAGAGCACCACGAAACTGAACACGCACAACAAACATATTGCTAATTCTTATCTCTTGCGACGTTTCGTCTTCTTCTTTGTGGCACTCGGCTGGCCCGTGACCTGTGCCACGCCCACGCCCAAGCCCAGTGCAGCGCTGCCGCCGCTGGCTGCCGCAGCCGGCGTTGCCAGTGCGGCCAAATGTGCCGCTGTGCTGCCAGCAGCCGCCGCCGCAGCCGCAGCCGCACCGCTGGCCGCTGCCGTTGCAACTGTTGTTGCTGCTGCCGCAGTTGTGGCAACTGTTGCTGCCGCTGCTGCCGTTGTTGTTGCCGTCGCCGTTGCTGCCGTCTCGGCGCTGCTCTCCTCCGCCGATGAGGTGGACGACGATGTGGCCGCCTCGATGGCGGCAATCAAATTGATTTTATGCTCCAGCTTCTTGGTCTTCAGCTTGGCATGCGACGAGGATGCGGTCAAGCTGCTGGCATAGAGGATGTTGTCGTCCGACGTGGTCGTCGGCACAGGACCCTCGCTGTCCGTGGTGGTGCCCGAGTGGGGTGCCGTTGCGCTGCTGCCAAAGTGCAGCAGATCTTCTGGCAGTGTGGCACCAGCACCAACATCGTCATCATCATCATCATCGTCCTCATCCACATCATCATTGTCATTGTCATTGTCATTGTCATTGTCATTGTCATTGTCATCGTCATCATTATCATTGTCATCGTCTTCAGCATCAGCCTCGGCACTGAGCAACTGCTGCTGATGCTGATGCTGGGATTCACACATGCTGATGCTAATCAATGGACGCAGCTCCTCATCGTCCGCTGCCACGGCCGATTGCTGCAGCTGCAGCTGCTCCTTTTGCTGCTGCTTGGCGCGCTTGTGCTTCTTGCTCAGCTTCTTGGGCTCCTCCATGAGCAGCAGCTCCTCGGACCCCGACGAGCTGTTCGTGCTGCAGACGGACTTGTGCATCGCTGCACTCGCCAGCTGCTCCTTGCCCGCCAGCAGCTGCAGCTCCGCGTACTCATTCTCGTAGTGCAGCGAGCCGCAGAGCGCCAGGATCAGATTCTGCTCGGTGAAGCCACGTGGCGGCGGTGTTATTTTACGCGGCACTGCTCCAGCGCTCTCCTGCAGCGGACTCTCAAAGTTGATGAGACTACGCTCAGCTCCAGCTCCAGCTCCAGCTCCTGCTGCTTTGGCTGCAGTTGCCTCATCCTCATTCGCCTCCTCCTCCACCTCCGGCTCGTCGTCTCCGAGCCCTTGCAACGGCTCCAGTGCCGGCAGCGGCGGCAGCGCCTCCAGCGGCTGCAGCGCGCTCAGCAAAAAGTCATCGAAACGACTCGGCGGCTCCTGCAGCGGCGTCAGCAGTCCTGGCAGCAGTTTCTCCGTCTGCCGCTTCCCGCTGAGGCTCGGAAAATCTGCATCGCTGGCCGTTGCTGTTGTCGTTGCCGTTTGTGTTGTTGTTGTTGTTGTTTGTGTTTCTTGTGTCTGTTGTTGTTTTTCGAGAGTTCTCCAGGCGCTGCCTGACTCCGCCGGCATCAGCTCCAGCACCTTCACCTGATAGCTAACGTTCTCCTTGTCCTTGTCCATGTCCTTATCCTTGCTCCTGCCAGCTTTGCTCTTGGCCTGCTTCGTTAGCTCCGGCTTGGCGGGCTTTGTCTCTACTTCGGCCTCTTCCTGCTCCTCTTGCTCCTCCGCCTTCTGCTCTGTTTCCACATGCAGATTGAGTCCTTGTGCACTGGCACTGCTTACCATTACGGCGGCTATTGAGGCACGCTTGGCCAGCAGCCCATCGGCATAGTCCAATTCCTGTTCAGCTTGCTCTGTGTCCTTTTGGTGTTGTTGCTGCTGCAACTGTTCCTCCTTCTCCTGCTCCTGTTCCTCTTTCTGTTCCGGCTCTTGCTTTGCCTTTAGCTCCTGCTGCGCTTGTCTCTTTAGCTCCGCCTCCTGCGCCTCCTTTGCCTCCCTTGCCTCCCTTGCCTCCTGCTCCTTCTCCAGCTGTCTACGCTCTGTCTCCTGCTCGGCCTGCTTTTTGTCTTTCTTGTTGCTCTGTTGTTGTTGTTGTTGTTGTTGCTGTTGTTGTGCTGCTGCTCTGTTAGCCTTGTGCTTGGCCGCTTTGGACTTTTTGTTGCTTGGTTGATTTGTTTTTAGGGACAGCGTCGAGCTTATCGATGTCTGCAGCTCGTCCTCGAGCTGCTGCTCATCCTCGCTGATGGCAGTTGTTGTTGTTGTTGTTGTTGCTGCTGCTGCTGTAGTCGCAGTTGCAGTTGCTTTGGCAGTTGTCGTTTTGTTATTATTATTGCTGTTGTTGCTGTTGTTGTTGTTGCCCTTGGCTGGCTTATTGAGATGGGAGAGCTCAGCGAATCGCTGCGCCTGCGCCGCATCCTCGGCCGCCGCCTGAGATTTTAGCGATTTCTGCTTCTTCTCCTTCTGCGTGATAACCTCGTCCATTTCCTTGGCTATCACCGGCACAATCAGCTTATTGGCCAGCACCACCGGCGGCTGTCCCTCGCCCATGACGCCCGGCCCACCGGCCCGTCCTGCCGTCTTCAGCTCCCGCTGCTCGCGCTGCAGCTGCTCCTCGTGCCGCCGCTGCTCGGCCAGCTCGTCACAGAAGATGGCCACGACGGGCCGAAAGAGCGCCTCGTCGCAATTCTCATGGATGACGCAATCCTCCGCCGCCAGCTGACCCACCACCTCGTCCAGCATGTCTGTCTGCAGCTCACCGCTGATGCCCGCATGGACGTCCGTGACGGTGCCCAAGGGATTCACGATTTTCTCAATGCGCGGCGGCGCTGCCGCTGCCGCTGCTGCTGCTGCTGCTGCTGCTGCTGCGGCATGGCCCGGCTTGGCGCTCAGCTCGTAGCTGCAAATGTTGGGCAAGACGCTGGCCAGCGCCGAGATGGTTGCCGCACTGTGCGGCAACTCCTGCGCCGACTCCTCCTCGTCAGCCTCGTGCTCGGCCAGGGCGTCATAGTAGCAGGCATTGTCTGCTGCTGCTGCTGCTGCAGTTGTTGCTGCGGCACTTGCGGCTGCAACAGTTGCTGACTCGAGAGCTGCAACATCTGGGCAAAGGAACGCGACGACGTTTACGGACAGCGCACAGAACAGAGAAGAGAAGAGAAGAAGAGAAAACAAATTATGAGAAAAGCGCATTTTTGCCAAAAAGCCAAAGGCCAAAATTTTTTCTATATTTTCTTTGAATTTTCGTAAAATTTTGTTTTTATATATTTTCGATTTTATTTTTGGCTCTTGTTTTTAGTAAGCTTTACGTGTTAAAAAAAAAATTATAGAAGAAAAAAAAACAAAAAACAAGAAAACTTGAACTAGAAGATGCAAACGGCATAAAAAAGAACGCTTTAAGCTAAATGCAAATGGTAAAAACAATTTTTGTTTTTTTTTTTAGTGAACAAAATGTTTTGCTACGGAATTTTAGTTTTTTATATATATTTTTGCAACTGTTTTTACTAGTGTTTTTTATTTTTTATTTTGAATGCAGTGAGTTTTTTTAAGCGTATGGAAACGTAAATTAATAATATATATTTA